ACACAAACTAAAGAGCGCGGGTGTTGCATCAGCTTGGAGCATCCCTGAGTCTTTAAGGAGCGGGGGGCCAAGGGGCCAAATCCAACGGTGCATGATGTGCATGCCGTTACACCTATAACTGAAAGTTGAACAAAATGGTAACGGAAAACTCATGAGGATACTTTTAATAGGTTGCTTACGATGAGTAGATAACCTGCTGCTGGTGCTTCTTAGTGCATGTTTCACTGTAAACAAGGGCATGACATAGGGATGCCAAAAGAGCATAATATGCTGTTCCTGATGCTTTTAGAGGAATGAAAACAACAATCTTCTTAATGAAACTAGCCAATTGCTGTAAGCAGAAGAAATTCCTTTCTTGCTGTCTGCTCATCAAGAAATTAAAGTGGGAAGCATTCTCTGCAGCTTGTCAAGTTGATTACACATAATGGTCCTATTGCCACGGATGCGGGACAAGTATTTAATACTGATGCAGACCTTGTTAAAAATTGCAGGTAGTTATGATAAAAAAATGTAGGTATTTCGGCATAACATTTAAATGAAGGGGATTTTGTTTTCTTTACATTTAGCCGCTAGAATTCTAATATTCAGCAAATAATGAACTAGCTCGGATTTCACTTATCTTTATTTCAAGTGTCTCTCTAGAACAAAACCCCCAAATCTAAACACTGCTGTATGTGGAAATTTCAAAATCCAAGTATTAATATTGCAGCATAAATTCATGGTGGTCTGACTTTATGACTCTTGTTCGTGATAATCCATATTTACCAGTGAAGATAATGGGAGTACTTGTGAGAGAAAATGCTACTCAGTAGGAGTGAGGCTTACAGAATCAGACCATTTTTGAGTGTAGACTCATAAAACCACAAGATCTCTATGTTCTCCCTTATCATAGATAGGCAATCTTAGGGCTATACCCTGCACAGAGTGCTGTGAATGGGTTCTTAACTTAGGTTTTCCTTACCACTGCAGATGGTCCACACAGTGAATATCCCAAGAACAGTTTGGAAGGAAAAGTATCTTAAATTAAACAAGGTTAATCTGCAAATTGAGAGGAAGGTCACATTAAAGCAAAACTAGAAGGAATTAAATCATATCTTGCTGATGACTGGGTAACTGTTTGTTTGGCACGGTTATGATCTTATTGTTAAAACAGACTCAAACCCCAAAGAATAACTTTTGTACTAGAGCTGGTTGGAAAATTAGTCTTTTCCCCATAGACATTTAATTTCAATTTCTTGGAATTCTTTTTATAACATTTTCAGCCAGAACTGTTGATAAAAAATGAAAATTTCTATCCAGTGCCACATGGAAGTTGCATGTTGGGTTCTTGATGCCTCCATTCTCTTCTGTGGGCTGGATTTCCTGTCTGGATTACTTCTCCCATGATGCAACACAGTCTTCCCTCTTGCTGAGTACAGCAATTCATCATGGAAGATGTAATTTGGAATCCACAGAGAAGAATGGGAGCAGAAGGCACTTGTGGAAAATGTAGGGGTTCTCAGAATGTTGATCTGTACACCAAAATGTACTTTCTGAACAATGAAACAACCATCACTGAAAGGCAAACAGAAACCAGATTGGGTCCCAAAAGAATGTAAGATGGATTTGTTCTTTTCCTGTACATAGAGAAGGAAGTCTACCTAACTCAGTTGGCAGTGAATCATGTGATTAGATGAGTCTAAAAATGTGTGTAGGCTGTTTTAAATTATTTTAATCTGATTGTTGTTCCTTTTGCTAATAAACCTACATATTCAAGAAGGTTGTTGGTTACTATTTCACTGTCCTAGGGTTCCCAAAAGGTACAAAACTCAGGTGTCAGTTGGACCTGCACAGTAATAAGCAGGTGGCAAAAATGGGGTGTTGTATCCAGATCCTGGACTAATAGTGGGAGGACTGTGAAATTTCCCCCCCAGACAGGCAAGGGCAGAAGGCCTAGTATCTGATGGGGGGCACTCAGAGACTAGCAAGGGGAAAGATTTGCAACCAGTAACAACCTGTAACCATGACACATTCACAATATAAACTCATGTGAGGCACTGTAATGGCATTTCTAAATAGCAATTTTTGCTTTTCGGATTTTTTTTTTCATTTGTAGGTGTTTGGTGGTTCAGTTAAAAGTAAAAATGTTTCAAAGAGAGACAAGGTGGTGAGGTAATATCTTTTACTGGACCAACTTTTCTTGGTGAAAGAGGCAAAGTTTTGAGCTACACAGAATTCGTCAGGTCTGCTAGACCTACCAGACCTGAAGAAGAGCTCTCTGTACCTTGAAAGCTTGTCTCTTTCACCAACAGAAGTTGGTCCAGTAAAAGAGATTACCTCACCCACCTTGTCTCTCTAATATCCTGGAACCAACATAGCTAAAACAATACTGAAAACGAAATATTTCATAGAATGCAGATGCTTTTCACTTTTGTTTTGTTTTGTTCTATTTTCCATTGAAAAAGTTCAGTGGAAAAAATTTTAACCAGCTGTCGTTTGTATAGTCTATGCATCAACTACTTAGGCTTTCAGGGTTTCCACATCACTTTTTGCAGGTTAACAGAGTCCATCATTCCTCTCAATCTCTGTAGCCACCCTTCTCAGCGCTGGATTTTGTTTGTCAGGGAATTAGTTCAGCTATTCTAAGTTCTCTGTGAAGATTAGGTGTGACTTCCCTGCAATAACATCCTATCCACAAAGTAAACTATTGTATTACTATAGGGAATCTGTTTACTCCAAGTTTCTTTCATACACTAACTTTTTTGCCTTCATCCTCAGCATCCCTGTGGATTTGTTGGTACCAGAGTGCATTCTCCCCTTCTATGCACCACAGCTGAAGCAGCAACGATGCATCTTCATAGGAACTTCTTTACAGCATGTCCTTGTCAACCTCCCACTCTCACAGCTGCTGTCACTGGTACCATCTGGCATATAATTAAACTAGTCTCTCTTCCTCACTGGCATAGCTCCAGGCTCTCCCAATGCTGTGAGTGTGGCTTCAAGGACCTTCCTTTTTATTTTTGTAGTTTCATGTTTACTTTAATTTTCCAAGTGAATTTTGGCACTTGTGAAAGGTACTGGATTGGCAGCCTTTTTTATTTTTTGTTTGTTTTGCTTTGTTGTTTTATTCTTGGATTAAGCACAGCACAGGCAGTTATAAGGATGGGTTACACCACGCTGCCCAACAAATGTGCTTTAACCCTTCCCTGGCTGGAAATTACTTCTGGGACAGAAAGGGTAGTTCGATCTCCAAGCTCATTCAATCCTTGATTTGTCAGACAAGATTGTCAAGTAGTGGTTTTTGTGGTGACTCATGTGGTGTTCCAACTGACCTGAGATGACAAACTAATGTCACATAGGCCAGCAAATGGATGGTAACAGCTCTTAAGAGCTTTATCCTGCCTCACTTGAAGTTTTATTAGTTCTGTCTGTCACCGTAGTATCTGAACACATAACAGTATGTTACATGCTCTAAGTCACTACTGATAAGAGCTGGATCTGATGCAAATAGCATATAAAACAAAGCCTCTATAAATGTCCTTTATCCGTTCTGTCCCTACTTTTTGCTTATTGAGTTCACAAAAGAGTGTGGGTGGCTGAATAAGTTGCTCTCCTATTAGTAGAGGGTTGTATGAAACAGACATTAATCTAATGTTTGGGTGGACAAAGGGATGAGCGGAAGCGGGTATTGATTTTATAGGAAATAAAGGATAATTTCATAGCTGTGGCAAATGGTACCCTGGAGATCCACTCCTTTTTGCCCCCATTTTTATATACGTTTAAAAAAATGTTTTTGTTCTATTCTTCTCACATGGAGATACCAGGTTTTCCTTGTTCTAGACCCACAAGTATGTAGTACTTTTATCCTTCGAAGATATTTGAAATGCTGTTTACTATTGATCTCATATGTGGAAATGGAGGATACAAGTTTTATTGCCAAGAAACTACTTGAGCACGTAAGTTGGAGGCAGTTGTATGAGATGTAGGTTTAATCACTAATTGGATAGTGACCACCTGTCAGCATTACTGTGGCAGGCAGGGTGAAACACCTCAGTGGTTTTCACAGTAGTGACAAGAAATTACAGATGTTATAAGTGTCATTAAAGAGATGGCAGCTCAGATATTTCTACACTGTTTCCCCACAGTCACATCTGTAAAATGTTGGCAAAGTAAGCTAAAGGTATTTGCTCTTGGTGGAACTTCAGTTCAGTAGTAGTGTGCTAAACAGTATCAGTAATCTAAAAACTTATAACTGCAGGAAAAAAGACATTTCATTAAAGCTTTGAGATATACCAAGTATCCAAAATCTGATTGGATAGAGCACTATTTCTTTCTTCCATCCTTCAGGTGGAGTAGATGAGCTGTCCACTGCTAAATTATGAGAGAGCCAATATTTCTCCAAAAATGGCCAGTGCTCTTGATAGATTCAGAAGCCCAATATGGGCCTGATCTGAAGATCACCACTGATTTCAGTGGGCTTTGGATGAGGCCCTAAGATAGTCTTGGTATGTTGCAGGATTGAGACATTTGTTTCTTTGTATGAATTGGTGAACCCAGATCTTGAAAGACATTTAGACACCAAACCCCGATCTGAGCCTGCCTCACTAACTGGGTAAAAAAAGGTTTAAATTACAGGAGGGAAAATTCAAATATCCTTGGAACATCCTTCCCCCATGAGGATGGTCCAAAATCTCTAACTCTACAAAGTTCAATAATTCCTACTGTGCAAGATCTCACCGGAAAGAAGTATCTCCTTTACTGTCAACTTGTGTAAAATAAAAAGCATTTGTTCCTGCCCATAACAGGAAATAGGTTGCTGTTGGCATGATGGTTTGAGGATTTATGTACACAGATGCAACAGTTTACAGTTTGTCATAAAACATTTCAGTTCCTAAACATGGTGCAAGGGGGAATGGAAATGTATCCTACTTATGATTAATAAAAATTGGATGAACTAAGACTCTGATTTCAAGTACATTGAGAAGACATTTTGAGAGGAATGCCTGTGCTTTCTGTGTTAGACACGGCTATGAAGAACTGGAAAGACAACTGAAAGACGTCTTTAAGGAAAGGAGCAATATCCTCCGTCAACTGTCGAAGACCTCAAAAGAACTTGAAAGAATTAAAGTAAACCTGCAGGTTAGATTACCCTTCACTTTTCTGTGATACACAATCACTCACTTTGTTTATTAGTATCTATTTGTTACAAACATATTTTCTTTTAACATGAGACTAATTGGTAATTAATGGTAACAATGATGCTTGTTTTACATGTTGTGTATGCCAGTTTTCAGGAAAACATGGGGCGCATTACACATGCACATGAGTGGATTATGCAGTTTATGAATCCCCAAAATTTTCCTTGGATGCTTTGTTTCATTTGTTCGAAATTGAAGCACTTAATGGAGAAACCATTAGGGAGCAGAATACATTGGAATATGAGAGGAAAAAGATATTTTTTATAGATTGACTCTCTGGAGCTACCCCTTAGTCCCATTAGTGAACAGTTACTCACAAAAATAGTCCTATGTTGGCTAGGGAGTGTGATATTTTCAGATTTCTAGCCGACATAGCTATGTCAGCAAAACTTTGTAGTGTAGAGTAAACTTTAGTCTAGCTAGAGTGAGATTGGCCACACTGAAATAACACTACAGAGTGTTAAATAACTCTGCAGCCTATATCTCCTGATGAGCCAGCCAACTGGTGTTAACTGGAGCATGATGGTTCTTTTAACAATTTTGGTGAGAGGACAGGACTCAAGTTAAGGGCAATACTTACTCTACAGTGAAGACAAATCCTCCATGTGGGATTTCCAGTCTTGCTTTGGATTTGTTGGCAACCTCAATGTCAAATCTTCACATGACAGGGCAGCAGTCTCTTCATGAGGGAGTCTCTTGACCTAGTGTAAACAATGAGAATAATTCAGACTGGTTATCAGCCAGATTGCTTATTCTGACACTTGCACTGACTTTCAGAGAACTGCATTTTATATGAACCACCTGTTATGAATGGGGCATATATAACTTCCAACAAGACCACCCCTTGCATTGACTAGTTGAGGGAACAATTCTGGGAAATTATCTCCTCAAACAATTCACAGGACCACACTGTTATCTTTGCGGGGATGTATGGCTCCCTGTATTCCATTCATTGATGATGCTACTTCTCTGAGCAGTAGTCTGTTGTACGTTTTAAAATGTCAGTCCGCATTATCCTGTCATCCTCTACTGCTATTTTTTATTGTTGAATTTCTTTCTTCACAATTTATATGGGGAACTTGCTTCCTCTTTCTCTTTTTTTTAAAATGAAGTTACTTTAGAACTTGCTATATTCTCATCAAACTGAATGAATAAAAAAGTAGGACTCAGGAAAATTTCTTTTTTTCATGTACTTTGAATTTGATGCTGCAGAGACCAGATCTGTGCAAAGAACTCTACTACATACTCTATTAGATCAGTTCGGCTTTAATGTCTCATCCAGCACAGCTGTGTGTGCTGCAGCAAGTGCTGAATTACTGCCGCAGAAGAGCCAAACTGTTTCTGCCCTTTTTTTTTTCGCAAAAGAGGTCACCATTAATCTTTTAATAGTTGAGTAATATTAAAGATCTTCTTGGTAATCCTCCCTCTCTCCTTTTGTTTCCAGTCTTTGAAAAATGATGAGGCATCTGCCAAAAGTGATGTGCAGAAACTTCTGGAGTTAGGCCAAAAGCAAAGGTAAGAAGCTACCTCCTCCTTTCTTTCCTGTTAACAGACTAAAAACTAGAAGACTAAGGACTTCCATCTTTCCTTTGTTTGAACCAGTAGTACAGCACAGAAGGCATGTCCACTAGCGATCAATCAAGACTGTTAAACAAGGGGAGGGAGGAACAATGCAGGAATGCAGCTAAAATACTAGCTGATATGTAACACACTTTACTACATAGTTGGTCATTAATAATATTCACAAGGGTTAACATTAGAACTAGATATACATCAAGGAAATTTTGCAGGATAGCTCAGAGCTGGGAACTTATTTTTTCAAGTCAACAAATTTCTGTGCTTAATTTTTTGAAAGTGTTTAGTGAATTGAGTGCCTTATTGAGGCACCATAAGTGGGCCTGATTTTCAAAGGGTGCAGTGATCAGCAGGTTTGAAAAATCAGGTCTCTTTAAAGTGTCTCAAATTAAAAACCTAATAATTGAGGCACCTAAAATAACCAGTTAGTTATTAGAATTGCTGGCTTTGGAGGTGGGGCATGGGTTCAGACAAAACTCATGAAACTGAGCACCTAGTTTTGAAAATTCTTACAGGGTAATAATCTGTGACAAGAAGTAAAAAAAAAGAATAAATTTGTTGGGGGTAAAATATTCATGTCAAATATTCACTTGAATCTAGTGAATTGGAGACTTTTCCATGACAAGGTATGACAGACCAGCATCCTTAGTCCTAAGTCAATACACAATGACATAGTTCACATGATTCTTACAAATGGAGTCTAGCTGATAAATTGATATGCCAATATAATTTTAACAACAATCAGACCTAGCCAATATGGGGATTATTTTCTCTGAAACAGTATGATGTGTTTAATGCATGTATGTGTCTTAGTTTTATCACAATAAAAATATACATTACAAATTAATCAGACATGACCAGTCTAAGTGCAGCATATATCCCTTTTGTTGTCATACAAAGTGACACTTGAAATCCTGTAATGATTTTATTGCTAGTATTTTGCCCAGTAGTAGTTTTGTAGCATATATTAAAATTAGATTGCTAATAGGGAAGGATTGTGATGAAATGATTTCCCAATCAGCTCTTAAATACCAAAGAAAATTGGGGACAGTTTCAGTGCCCACAGAAGTCAGTGGGGAGTCTTTCCATTTACTTCAATGGGTGTTGGATCAGACCTTCACACGCCTTATAAATGCCAAAGACAGATATTTATGTTAAATGGGGACATTTTAGACCTGTCTGAACTGTGGAGTAGTGGTGTTTAGTTAGTTAACATTTCTAGAGAACTTTAAATATGTAAACATCTATACAATTAAAATATCACAGTTTACCACTAATAACCACCTTGTAGCAAATCAGACACTATTTTTTTATCCTCCAGTTTCTCATGTAGTAAATGTTGGTAAATGTTGCCTTGAAAATCCAATATTAGCTGCTGTAATTGCTAAATATTCATATATAAATAATTCTTAACCATGATAACATTAGGCAGTGAACATCACATCTTGGAACTTTTAATACATGAAAAGAAATGTGCTCTTTGCAATGAATTAGTAATTATATAATGTCATTAAAACATAATGAGATGATAAAATGATGATGCAAGTTGAGAGTATCATTGTTCAGTGGTTCAAATTTGCAAATGGTCTCTGAAACATGCACCTAAAACATTTGTGGTTTCATCTTTTTGTGCATGAAAATGCCTCTATTTGTGGATGTAGATCAGCAAACTACAGGTCACTGCCCATTGTGAGTGTAGTTAACTATTTTGTGGATTCAAACAAAGGTTTTTGGGGTGCACAAATGGACACACCCATGTAATTTACAAAAATATTTTAGAACCCTTTTGGAGAATTGACTCTAAATCTTCAGTCTTATAATTTGCTCTGTACATGAAGGCTACATCACAAATCCTTCACCCATAATTCAGTTTCTGTGGTAGGGTTTGACAAGCATGCAGCTTCCATGAAGTATTAGCATCAGTGAATTAAAATTGTTAATAAGCTATTTAGTCAATTTTAAATATGCCCTGTTTGCAGATGGGAATATGGAATAAGTCTTTCTGGCCAAAAATGGGTATTCCTCAGACGCACGCACCATTTTGTTCTTTCCATTCCCCTACACGAGACCCCTACCTCAGATCTGTCTATCTATCCACCCAAATGGAATGTCAGTTTTCTTTCCAAGAGAAACATGTACAGCAGTGTGCTTCAGTGGAACAGTTCCTAGACACAGATTATGTGATACATGCAATGTGCTAATGAACAGCCTGGGTTTTTCAATTTCTTCCTTTTTTTAAAATCCAGGCTTTTATAACACTCTTCAGGAAATACCATGAAAACCAATATTGCGGGTACTCAAATGGTTAATAATTACAGACTCACTGGAGTTGGGTTCTACAGAGGTTATGGAAGTCTAGAAGCCCATATTGACAACATGCCAGGGAATGAAAATTGGCATATAATTAACGCAATGGGTTCTGTGCACCTGCCGTGATATATACCTTTCCCAGAGATTGTGTATCTAAGAATAAACCCAAACACTTTCCATCTGATAAGCCGTATATCAGCATAGAAACGTATCTATCTTTACCTTGTCGTAAATCATTCTGTTAGCCTCCCCTCACGGTTTACCTAATGGAGGGCCTCATGTTTTATCTGCCAAGAGCCTGAGGCTATACCCAATCTGCGGTAAATGGAGAATAGTGTAGCTGCCCTCCTGTTGAATAGAAAACCAGCCGGATCAAGATGCTAGGACCCATCATCACTTTGGGCAGCCTTTCAGCATTAAACTCACAATGTACTTTGTTTGTAGAAATGCGGACTGCATTTGCCTTATGGGCTGCATGTTGACTAAGCCTGTTATATAGCATGAATCCAGTAAAGCGTAGGATGCCAGAATCTCAGCTATCAGAGGGGTAGCCATGTTAGTCTGTATCCACAAAAACAATGAGGAGTCCGGTGGCACCTTAAAGACTAACAGATTTATTTGGGCATAAGCTTTTGTGGATAAAAAATCCACTTTTTCAGATGCATAGAGAGAAAATTACAGATGCAGGCATAAATATACTGACACATGAAGAGAAGGGAGTTACCCTACAAGTGGAGAACCAGTGTTGATGAGGCCAATTCAATCAGGGTGGATGTGGTGCACTCTCAATAATTGATGAGGAGGTGTCAATACCAAGAGAGGGAAAATTGCTTTTGTAGTGAGCCAGCTACTCCCAGTCCCTATTCAAGCCCAAATTAATGGTGTTACATTTGCAAATTAATTGTAGCTCTGCAGTTTCTCTTTGATGTCTGTTTTTGAAGGGTTTTTTGGTTGAAGTACCAATGTACATGGCAGAGGGGCATTGATGGCATGATGGCATATTCACCTGCACATCTACTAATGTGATGTATTCCATCATGTGCGAGCAACGCCCCTCTGATTGAATTGGCCCTGTTAACACTGGTTCCCCGCTAGTAGGGTAACTCTCTTCTCTTCATGTATCAGTATATTTATGCCTGCATCTGTAATTTTCACTCCATGTATCTGAAGAAGTGGTTTTTTTTACCCACGAAAGCTTATGCCCAAATAAATCTGTTAGTCTTTAAGATGCCACCGGACTCCTCATTGGTTTTGAGAATCTCAGCTGATACAAGATGAGGTAGCACTGTTGACGTCAATGAAGATGTGCAGATTTACACCATCTGAGGATCTGACCCTAGTGTTCCTCCTTCAGAAGTCCAACTTTAATCCCTTCTCTTCTGAGCTCTGGTGTAGTTTTTAAGCTGCGGTAGAAAATGGTTGTCTCCCATGGTGGTCAAGTTCTGTCACTTCAATGTATGTATTGTTAACCCTTCAAAATGACACAAACTTTGTCTATATTAGACAACATTGGAAGTGCTGCTGCTGATGGCTCTCTGGCTTCACCAGCTGTTTCAAGCACTGTTGCAGTTAAATCTGTACTACCCAGAACTCCCAAGGTTTCTAGTACCAGTGTAGGTGAGGACTAATATGGTAGATGAGCCAGCAACTCAGGTACTTCTTGCCTCATCATGTACAAACCTCATTCTACACCAGTCAGGCAGTCACTGGGCTAAACTGTCTCCTGCACCTGAGCCCTGCTCAAGGCAGGCAGGGGTTCCAGCTTCCTGATCCTGAGGGTTGGTCTGTGTGAGTGGCATCCCTGATAATGCTGTTAGAATGCTCTAAGATATGTCACTGTTGTAGCAGCACCACAACCCTGGCAAATGGTCTGTGTTGGAGTGAAGGGGGTGGCTAGAGTAAGACTTGTATCAGACATAATTGTGCCAGAAGGGAATTCTCTTGTTCCACAGGAATCCTTGATTGCCATGTGTTGCCAGTTTGTGGTCCCTTTTCACTTCCTGAACAATGCAAAGGGGCTGGATCTCAGTAGCTAAACTTTCCAAAATTCTCTATATTTTTTGGTGATGTTTCTTTTAAACAATTAGACAACTTCTTAAAAGATCCTAGTTTATAATTTGCTTCTAGAAAGAGAACTAGTGGCTTAGGTTTACTAGCTAGAATTTCTCTTTTCTTTAAAAGCAAATATAAACAAGCTCTCGTAGACAGTAGTATATTTCCTTGTTCAAAGTGCTTTTCTTTCCTTACTTCACTGTTACTGTGACTATTCTTTTCACTAGAAATTACACAATTAACAGATGTTTTGCACATGTTTGTGCTTGATAGATACAAAAAGTAGCTACTTACCATTTTATTTATACATATATTTTGCATCAGCACTGGAGTTCACTGACCCCTTATGGTTTTGTTAATAAAACACATAGACACACAACACTCCTGGTTGTTATGCTGCATAATTAAAAGAGTCTGTTTGTTAAACTAAAGTAAACAACAATAACAACCACCACCATATTTCCTAATGGAGAGTAGTGGTGAAGTTTGTGGTTTTTTTTCTTTTCAATGACTTAGGGAAGAAATGAAATCTCTCCAGGAGGCCTTTCAAAAGCAGCTTAATGAGGCAGCTGAGAAAGCAGAAAAACAGCAGGCTACTGTGAGTGATTCTCTGTCCTTTCTTCTGTATTCTTGTTTGTTTCTTCTGTCTTTCTACCCTCCTCCCTTGTGATTTATTTAATCTCAAATAGCTTTGCATGACCAAAGTTATACTTATTTATTTATTATGCACAGTGCTGTGATGACCAAGAAGACCTTAGGCCTTGCTCTAAGGAGGCTGCACCCGAAAGCCCTTTACTCTCCCATATACCACTTTATACTGGTATAATTCCATTGATTTAAGTGGAGTCATACCAGATTGAAAAGAGTGTCCATAAGAATTTAATCAGGCCCCAAAGGTCCAATCTTGATCTTATTAAAATCAGTGGGTGATTTGCCCATTGACTTAAAAAGAAATAGGATCTGGTTCTCAGTATTGTAACCCATGAAGTCAGATGAAAGTCGTCATTAATTTTTGTCTAAACCCTCCATTAACCAGGGACAATTTAATCAATCTTTGTGTGTTACTGTTATTCTGTTGAGCATAAATGGTCAGATTTTACTACTGCATAGAAAATTACAACCGTTTCTCATTTCTCTTGTATAACTGGTTTGCTGCTAGGACATAAATAAGGAAATGTCTCCTATAAATATCAGTACTTAAATAAACAGAACATCTCTGTAAACGTCTGTCTTCAATTGGTCATCAGATAACAGAACATTTTAATACCATTTGAAAGCTGTTTTCCCAGATTTCTTGGTTAACGTCTGTTTCCACCCTGGCTTGAAATACTAGTTGATGATATATTTATTTTATTTATTTAGCCATATCTAATTTATTTTCAGGCTCAAAAGACAAGAATGGGGTGAACATAAGAATAGGGTAAATAAAAAAGGGAATTAAATGATTTTGCAAAGCTTTGCAAACATTTGACAAAATATGATTTTTGGTGAAGGTTGATACTCCTCTTATTTGTATCTGAGCCAGATTGTGAATGATTGTTTAACAAGATGTGGATTTTATTAAATGGGTTTAGGAATGATCATAGTCTCACTTATGTTAATAGGAAAATTTCCATTGGCTTCAGTGGGAGCAAGATCAGATACTGTGGCCCCAATTCAGCAAGGTACTTAAAGATAGGGTAGTTTTACGGAAGTCAATGGCGCTACTTGTGCTTAAAGTTAAGTGCATGTTTAACTGCATTGCTGAAATGCAGCCTATATCCATGTCATACTATGCTTTTGAAAATAGAAATAGCTTTGTCCAGATACATATATGGAAGCATTCTGCTGTAAAGGAGAAATAAGGTGCATTTTATAATCAGCAATTAAAAAGCTTCCAAGGCAATATTAATAATATCTGAAAGTACTTTTTCCTCACTGTTCTCTGAAAGCTTGGGAGGGGAATCCATTCCTTTACAAAGCATTGTATCTTCTTTGCCACCTGTTTAGGCATTTATTATTGTTTGAGGGGTTGTTGTGGTTTTTTTATTTTATTTTATTTTTGGAGAGAGAAAACAAAACAACAACAAAAACCCCAACACTTAAGCTTTGCTTTGGGCTAAAAATGAAAAGAATATGCTTAATTTGATTTTTCAGTATAAAAATAAGCAGATCAAAATTAGTCTTGCCAAAGTAGTCATGGCAATGTGTGTCAGGACAATTAAGACAAATTATCAAGATAATCTAGCAATCGTATTAAAATGGGAGTACTGTCCTAAAGTCAATAGCAAAGCAGAGCACAGGACTTGTTTATCCCAGTTCTCTTCTCTAACCAGTTGAAAACATGGCAGGCCAAATTCTCAATTCTCAATTACATTGAGCACTGACCTCGGTGAAGCGTCAGTAATGTACGGTAATAAAGACCAGTATCAGTGGCAGGAGTCAAAACACAAAACAAACTTTAAATTAGAATCTCCTGACTTCTTGTTTGTTACACTGTATATGTTTAAGGTCAGTTCAACACTGGTGTAAATGAGTACATCTTCAATTGAGGTCAGCAAATAGGTACCTCTAAAATTTTGAGTTAATTTTACTCTTCATTTTTCCTATTTTTATATAAAGTTCTGTCTCTTTTGCGTTCAGTTTTACCTTCAATGGGATCTCATTCATGGTGCATTCAGGCTAGGGTATAATCCTGAGTGAAATACTAGGGACAACATTCTGATCTTAGTTACAATTCAGTGATTCTGCACCATCCCCTACCACCTTTGGAACACAATGGGATAGATCACCAGTCTAACTGAGAGCAGAATTTGTCCCAGGTTGTTGTCAACTGGTTAGGGAAGGAGATTGTGACACAGAAGACTCAGGCTCCATTCTCAGCTCTCCCAGTGATTGACCTCCCAATGATTTCAAGGGTAGCAAAGTTGAACTTTTGGTATGTGACCCTGTGACCCTGTGCAAGACAATTAACCTCTTAGTGTAGCCTTCAGTAAAATTAATTACTATTTGAAGTGTTTTGAGATGATCAGTTGAAAGATGCAATAAAAATGGAAATAATTATTATTACTGTCACTTAATCCTGTCTCTTGACAGTATTTCACACCTTTCTCGAAGCCAGTTGAATGATATGGACAAAAATCTGTAAGATATTTTCTTAATACTTGAAGAGGGAAGAATGGTGTGGAGGGTGGGGGTTGCATTTAGTTCTGTTTTACTTAACTGTAAGGCTTTAGTCTAGTCAAACATACATAGGTTTTAGTCTTTTGAAGTCAGTGGAGTTACTCCTGATTTACACTGGTGTAAATGAGATAAAAATCATTGTTGAATCAAGCCCATAAAGCCTCCAACTGGAATATTTGCAGAAAATTGCTGGAGGAGAGAAGGTTAGAATGCCTGTTCTATTCTTGTCAACTAGGAATAATATAATCAATCTCCTACTTATTGTGTGTTACTCAATTGGTAACTTAGCATTACATATTTTGAACGAATAGAGAACACCTGCCAGAGGGCAATGATGGGATCTATTAAATAACTGCAAAATGGTTGTATTTAAGAACCTACAATAATTAAGTAAATCAAATTATATTAAAAATTATTTGGAAATATTATAGATGGCTTGACCTAAATTGGCAGATCTAAATTAACAGCACCATACATCTTGAATACATTACTCAAGTGTCCAAGCTTTGCACAACTTACTATATTAATCCTTTATCGCCCACTGGCCATGTTATATAAACTAGACCTGGGCAAAATTTTATGGACTAGTAGTTTATTTACCAAAAAATGCTATTTTGTATCGATTGCAACTATTCATGAACTCAATACGAAATTGCCAAATAGTTTTGATCGAACTAAATAAATCTAAATGTTTCAGCAAATGCTGTGTTTTAATGGCTTCTGCTGAATAAGCATTAGTTATACACAAAATAAGCAAAATCTGTGTATCAGATTCCATGACTTTCCATGACCTCCATGACTTCTGCAGCGGCTGGTGCTGACTCAGGGGCAGCCTCTGGGCCAGCAGCAGCAGTTTGGGTCTGTGGGAGGGAGCTCAGACTAGGGGCAGGGGGTTGGCCGGGGCAGGGGGGAGGCACTTATCTCGGGGAGGAGGGCTCCCCCTGGCATGGCCCTGCAGCTCCTAGGCAGCGGAGGGGCCAGAGGGTGCTGCCCGTGCCCACGGGCCCCGCCCCCACAGGTACCATTGGCTGCGGTTCCTGGCTGCTTGTGGTGAGATGGGAGCAGTGCGCAGACAAGCCCCCTAGCCCCTTCGCCACCTAGGAGCTGCAAGGACGGGGAGCCGGGTGGGGAGCCCCTGCCAGCCTCACCAACCCTTCCCCGCCCAATGCAAGCAGGAGTCCTGGGCCACCTCCCCCAGCACCCACGACACCCCCTTCTGCCCCCCTCAGAGCACCCGCCGCTCCCCGCTCAAGTTTTAATTAGGGGTATATAGTAAAAGTCATGGACAGGTCATGGGCTGTGAATTTTGTTTACTGCCTGTGACCTGTCCATGACTTTTACTAAAAAAACTCGTGACTAAAACATAGCCTTATATATGTGTGTCTATAATAAAATGTAGCTGTATATGCTACCTTAGAATTATAGGTTAGAAGAGATTCCAAGGGCCATCTAGTCTTAACTCCTTGATAAGATGCAGCATCTTTTGGGTCTAAACCATCCAAGACAGATGTCTATCCAGCCTCTTTTTGAAAACCTCTAGTGAAGGAGCTTCCATGACTTCCCTAGGCAGTTTGTTCCATTCCCCTACGGTTAGGAAGTTTTTCCTGAGATTTAATCTAAAACTGCTGTGATGTAGTTTGTCTTTTATGAAGCATGCACTGTATGACATTTAAAAACGAATAAATCTAAACTGAAATGGGAAAAATGAGGACAAAAATGAGAGAGGAGGAAAAAAAGAAAAAAGGAAGAAATACGTTTTTTTTTTAAATCCATTATATTTCCCCCACCCTAGAACTTTTGCTTAAAGCATCTAAAACAGCTTTCAATTGATTATCTCTTTAGTTCAGTTCTTAGATCAGGGATCGGCAACCTTTGGCACACGGCCCACCAGGATAAGCCCCCGATGGGCTGGGCCGGTTTGTTTACCTGCCACGTCCACAGGTTTGGCTGATCGCGGCTCCCACTGGCCGCGGTTCACTGCTCTATGCCAATGGGGGCTGTGGGAAGCGGCACAGGCCGAGGGATGTGCTGGCTGCTGCTTCCCGCAGCCCCCATTGGCCTGGAGCAGCGAACTGCGGCCAGTGGGAGCTGCAATCAGCCGAACCTGCGGACGTGGCAGGTGAACAAACCGGCCCAGCCCGCCAGGGGGCTTACCCCTGTGGGCCATGTGCCAAAGGTTGCCAATCCCTGTTTTAGATTATAGAGTAATTTATAAACTCTTATTGGAAAGAAAACAGAGCTTGGATTTGTATCCCATTTTTCAGACCCACAATATTTGAAATAGCTGTGTGTGTGTGTGCAATAAAACTTTCACTTTCCTTTACTATTATACAGTATAAAGTATATTACTTTGTGAACTAAAATATTTAAGTTTGTGAACTGAAAAATATAGGTACTATATACAAGCAATTTAAAAAATGACTGAAATCTTTCAGT